TTTTGTGTGATTTTTTTTTTTTTTTTTTTTTTTTTTTTTTTTTTTTTTGGTACTGGGGATGGAACTCCAGTCCTTGTTGCTTGCAAGGCAGGCGACAGCACCACTGAGCTAAATTCCCAGTTTTGTTTTTTTTTTGTTTGTTTGTTTGGTTGGTTGGTTTTTTTCGGTTTTTGCGACAAGGTCTTGCTGTGTAGTTCAGGTGGCCTTGCACTCACTATGTAACCTAAGCTGGCCTCAGATGCACGCGATCCTCCTGGCTCAGCCTCCTTCCTAGTGCTGGGATCACAGGCGTGCCCTGCCGGGCCTGGCCTCGAGGTGTGTTTTTCAATCCTAGCTGCTTTTAACTCTGTACAGAGTGTTCTGTGCTTGTACGTGATGTTTGGGGACCTGTTTTTCCACCTCCTCTGGTATCGCTGCACCTATCGGTACAGCGGGCTGGGTAGTGCTTACCATCGTCCTACTCCCCTCCTGCTGATGGACACCTGGCCCCAAGCCAGACTTCTGTTGGGAACACGCAGTGTCCTGCAGGCTCTGTACAGGGGGTGGGGACCTCGGGCAGAAAGGCTGAGTCACAGGCGCCGAGGCAGCAGCTGCCTCAGCCACCTGGGCCCTGGTGTTCCTGCCTGTGAAATGGGGGCAGTCACCCCAGTGCGGGTCAAAGCTCCAGTGGGTGGGGGGAAGTTCCAGGAGGTTCCCACAAGCAAACTTGGATCTGGTTAGGTATGGAGCCACAAGCCTGGAATCCCAGCACTCAGGAGGCTGAGGCAAGAAGATTGCAAGTTCAGGGTCACCTTGGGATACCCTTCCTCAAAAACAAAGGAAAAAACCCGCATTTGCTAGAGCCGGCACTGCATGGGAAGGGCCCTCTGAAATGTGTGTGGGCCCAGGCCAGTGTAGGGTGTGCAGACGCCTCCCGCTTCTTGATAGCCCCGGGGTGTGTTCACTGCACATTACTGCTTGCCGCTCGCACCGCCTGGACTGAGCCAGGCCTGTGGATGCATGGTCTCAGCACTGCAGCAGTGACTGGTCACCCAGCAGTGATGGCCATGGCCACAGGTACACAGGGTCCCAAGGAAGAACGTCCCACCGCCCCACTCCACACCAGAGCCAACCAGGAGGTCTGACCCCTGCCATCCCCAGGCCTGCTGTCCCCTCTGGTCCTGCCTTTCTGCATGTCAGTGGGACGTGGCCATGCACCGTTACCCGCCCGGCCAAGTAGATTCCCAGCACCCAGGACCCAGGCACGCTGGGTCCCCTTCAGAGGAGAAGCCTCTACATCCGCCCGCCCTGGATGTGGAGAGACAAGGCCTACACAGCGGCGTCTCGCTGCCACGTCCCTAGGGAGGAGCTGAAACCCCCCTTCAGGACAGTGCCCCACACAGGGCCTGGGTATCTCCCTGAGCGCTGACTCAGGCTTGGAGGGAAGGCGACACCCCACCCCGGGTATGTCCTTACCCACTCCCTGGACCGCATGGGCTCTGTGACCCAGCGCGGGGGCAGGGTCAGGGCAGGGTCAGGGCAGGCCGTGGGTTTGGCCCCGGTACAGACGAAATCATAGGCAGAAGAGTCTGCCAAGGGAGCTGGGGTCCCCACCTGCACCAGCCCTGGCCCCCTGGAGGAAACCTCAGCTCAAGTGGGTTGCTTGGGGCCAGGGCCTAAGAGTGGATGCACTCAGAGCCCTGGGCTTGTCCCCAGCGTGGTGTGGGAACACCTGTAATCCCAGCACTTGGAGGCTGAGGCAGGAAGATCACAAATTCAAGCCCAGCCTAGGCGAGCCAGCAACTTAGCTAACAGGTCCAAGGGCTGGGGGTACCTCAGTGCAGAAGCCCTGGGTTCAGTCCTCAGTACCATTAAAAAGAATAAGAATTGGAGAATCGGTGTTCTAGCGCCCTCCCATGCCTGCCTGGGCTCAGCCCTTTTAAAACACCTCCCACGTTGGTCAGCTTTCTGTTACTGTAACCACGTACCTGAGAGAAGCAGTTATTGAAGCTATGTGTCAGGTTTTAGGTGTGTGTACAGAGGACCCAGTGCCCCAGCCTGAGGGCTCGTAGTCTTCTGAAGGGTACAGGCTGCCAGTCTTCTTGGTAATAGACTGGAAAGCACTCAGGACTGTCATGTGCAGTTGTACAGGTTGTACACTGCACTCCCTTCTAAGGCCATATTTCACATAGACTGTACTATGAACAAACTCTCCCTAGCGTTACAAAGTTACCACCAGCCCTGCCACCCACCGTGGCCTGGAGGTCCATGGGTTGCAGGAAGCTGTGGGTCGTCAAGGGAAGACCCATGTCCAGTGGTAGACGAGGTGGCTGGTGATGGCTGATTAGGGAAGGCTTTGCCCCAGCAGAAGTTCCTGAACCTGGCCTTGAAGGACCTGGGCTGCCTGAGCTTGGTGACCCTCCCAAGAGCGCCAGTCCCTCTTGGAGGCCTGGCTGTGCACATCGTGGAGATGGACGTCCGACAGCTGGCAGGCCCACTCAGGCCCTGGGGATGGTCACTCCCACCGCTGACTTATTTATGCTCGTGTCCGCTTGCCTTCTGCCTGCGGGAAGAATTTGTGTGGCTATTTCTGGAGCGTCCCACACAGCCGCGGTGGCGGCAGAGACCGGCGGGTCCCTGTGCCCCTCTCCGTCGGGTGTTCGGGGCCTCATTACACGGCCGCACCTGACTCCACTCACTAGTGTGCTGTCGCTGCAGGCAGTTTGCAGGCTGCCGAGGGAGGGAAGTGAATGGGAAAGCAGGAGCGGCATCTGCACTGGCATTGGGCCCGGGGAGCGGAGGACAGAGAAGGCCACGTCCCTCCCGAGCGTGGGGCTCCCTCGAGGCCAGGCCTCTGATACACATGTGGCTCATACACAGCAAAACACCTACAGCGGGCAGGTCTTTGAGTTGTGACAAATGTGTGGGGCCCTGTGGTCTCCGCAGTCACAGGAGGCCGAGGCGGGAGGGTGGCAGGTTCAAGCCCAGCCTGAGGAATTCAGGGACTTAGCAAGACCCTGTCTCCAAATTAAAAATGAAAAGGGCTGGGGATGTAGCTCCGCACAAAGGCCCTGGGTTCAGTCCCCGGTACTCCCGTCACCCTGCCCCTGCAGGCAGTCCTGGACAGTCCCACTAGCACCTGCTTGGCCGGAACCAGAGGCCTGCCGTCTGGGGGTGACTTCTCTGGTTTGGGCAGGGACCGTGAGATTGGGGTAACTCCTCCCTTACCCCTGCCCAGATGTGTCACACTTTGGGGTGAACGAGCCCTGAGGTCCGTGTGGCAGACACTGCTGACCCCTGTGGTAAACCCGCATCAGCTCCATCACCATGGCCTGGGGTCCAGGGCAATCACTGGGGCTTCACCCACAGAGCTTGGGGCAGCCATGAGAAGGGAGGGGACCGGTACTGCCACCCCGTGTCCATTTCCACATGGATCTTGTGCCCTCAGTGACTCAGAGCCCATCTGGCCTCACTGCGACCACAGGTCCCTCCCTGTCCCTGATGCCCGCGTGCTCAGACTTGCATGTTGGGTGCTCAGGGCCCATACTGGCTGCAGGGGGACAGGGACAGGACTGTCCTCGCCCAGAACAGCAGCCTAGAGCCCAGCCCAGGTGCAGGGACAGCCAGCCCCACCTGGCCTACCCTGGGCTCTGCCACACCGTGAGGAAGCTCGGGGTCCTCAGCCAGCAGGGACAGGGGTCTCATCGGGGCGGGGGAACGAGCAGCACACTCAGCTGGATGGGGTCTTGGGGCCTGGCTTGGGGGTTCCCAAAGATTGGGGCAGCACAGAATGCGAGACAGGCAGCTTCCTCGGGATCACACAGCAGCCCCGCTCAGAGCTCTGGGTAAACTGAGGCACACCCTGGCGGGTCAGGTCAGTGTCTGCCTCAGGGTGCCTGCTGGGACTAACTGGACGGCCTGTGTCTGTGTCCTCAGGTGCAAGTTCTTCAGTCTGACGGAGACGCCAGAGGACTACACCATCATTGTGGATGAGGAGGGCTTCCTGGGTGAGTGTCCGCCCGCCTGCCCCTCTGATCTGGGTTCCAGAACATTCTCAGCTCCCCACAGAGGAGCCCCGCACTGCACCATTAGCAGTGGCTCCCCACTTACCCCCTACCCCAGGTCCTTTGAGGTTCATTCTAAATGTTTGTGACCTGTGTCCTGTCCCGAAGTGGTGGTGTCCTTGATGGGTGCTCAAAAGCCCATGCTGCATGGTCACCAATACACAGCAGTCTGTCACCTGCCCAACCCCAGTGACAAGGAGGGGCTTGCATTTGCCTTCCACAAGGATAACAGATTCAGACGCCTCAGAAACACTGAGTGGCACCCTTCAAAGCATGCAGAGAAGCTGGGAGTGGTGCACACGCCCGTAATCCCAGCATTCTAAATTGCTGAGGCAGGAGGATTTCAAGTTCAAACCCAGCCTGAGCAATTTAGCAACTTAGCGAGGTCCTTGCTCAAGATAAAAAGTTAAAAAGCAGGCCAGGGATGTTGGTCAGTGCAAAGGCCCTGGGTTCACTCCTCAGCATCAGGATGTGGACAGAGACTACAACCAGTGTGACATTTTAAAAAGCCACAGCCCCACCCCGGAGGAGGCAACCACTGCATTGTCGCCCTTGATTTTCCTTCCCACTGTCTCTGAGCGCAGGTCCTTGAGGTCCGATTGTGTAGTGCGTTCTCACTGTGTGCCGTCTTCTCAGTGGAAGAGCCGAGTGCCTGCCTCCCACGGCTTGGGCAGCAGGCGTAGTGCTGCGTCCTGATCGTTCCCCGTCCCTGCCAGTGTCTTGGCCGTGTTCCCTTTTCTCTAATGATAAACTTATAAAGCTGCTCCGATGGGTCACAGTTACCTTGCTTGGTTCCTAAGTCAGGGCATTTGGGCACGTGGCCAGAGCCAGGATGGGGCTTCCTACTCCACAGCATGGGCACAGTGTGTGCGGCTCCTACACACACACACACACACACACACACCAAAGCCAGGTGACTACAGACAGGGACTTTGGCCATAAGTACAAAGCATGAGTCACACAAGCTAGAAGGCCATGTGCTTCCTTCATCCAGCACACACCTGTAGCCTCAGACTCTGGGAAGCTGAGGCGGGAGGATCACAAGTTCATTACCAACCGGCTCAACTTAGTGATTTAGCGACCCTGCCTCCAAGTAAAAAATCTCAAAAGGGCTGAGACCTAGCTTAGTGTGAAGGTCCTGGGTTCAATCCCCAGCTAACATCAAATAAATAATGAAGATTGTGTGCTTGGATGGCCAGGCACGTTCTCATGTTCTTCTGGGTGCTCTGTGCCTATGCCCGGAACTGCTGAGACCTGGGCACCTCAGAGAGAGGAGGAACCTTGTGCTTACCTCTTCTTTGGAAGCAGACATTCAAAAAGACCTGGGTGCAGCCCGATGGCTGTTCTGCAGGTCCCTGGCAGCCTCAGCCTCGAGGACCAGGGGGTCCAGGGAGAGGCCCCTGAGCACACTGATCACCGCCCTGCTGCTCTGTGCCTGCCCTGGTATCCAACCAGAGGTGCTGGGGACCCACAGTGACTGCACCATGATTCACGGCCCTGCATGGAGCAGAGGGTGTGGGGAGGCCCTGTGAGAGGGGCCCTGGACACAGGAAGCAGGACATCAGGAAGTGGGTTGCCCACACTGCCCAGGGGCTGCATGCCAGGAAGCCCATCCTGAGTGGTAAAGGTCAGAAGCCAAGAGTGTATCTGAGGCCAGCTGTGGTGGCGCACACCTGTCATCCCAGCACTAGTCTGAGGCAGGAGGACCACAGGTTCCAACCCAAGCTGGGCAACTTAGCGACTCAGTGAGAACCTGTCTTAAAATACATTTGTTTCTAAGCAAGCCCAGTGTGAAGGTCTTACATTCAATCCCCAGTACTGCAAAAGAATTTTTAAAAGATGAACAGTGTCAAAAGAGAAGGCCAAGTTGGATCGGGAGCGGAGAGCGGACCTGATTGCCCTGAGCAGCCCCACCACCGCCGGCCTGGTCACCGTCACACCTGGGGGAGTTGGCCCAGGCACCATCCCACAACCATGAGCAGGAGGCTGAGACACAGCAGCCGTCCGCCCCCACAGCACTGCGACACCACGCTGGGCACCCCAGGCAGCAGCACAGGGCGGGGACGTCATCTCAAGGAAGGTTTCGGGAACAGTAAAATGGTTCTGTGTAAGAGGCAGACATGGTCTCATCGACACCAATGACCCCGAGGAAGATGTGTTTGTACACCAGGCTGCCCTGAAGAAGAACCGAGGAAGTGCTCCGCGGGGCGGCGGGTGGAGAGGCTGTGGAGTGTGACACTGCTGAAGGGGCAGAGCGCGCGGAGGCAGCAGATGTCACAGGCCCTGGTGCAGTTCCAGTTCAAGGCAGGGAACACGCAGCTGACCGTAACCATCACAGCCACTGTCTGTGTCAAAAGGGCTCCTCCACACAATTACCGGCAGAATGACCGGAACAGGGAGAGTGGGGAAAAGAATGAGGGACCAGAAAGCGCTCCGAAGGCCAGGCCCAACAGCGCCAGCCCTGCCGCAGGCAGGCAAAGGTTCCCGCCTGACTCATGCGGAGACCCCAGGGCGCCAGCCACAGCCTTCCAGCGCTCCCGCCCCACGCAAGGAGAGGTGATGGGGGTGCTGACAGCCGGGGTGCAGGAGAATGAGGTAGATAGGTGAGACAGAACCACAATTCCTCAGGCATCCTCCTCACCAAAGACCGCCGGAGAGGACAGCAGTGACAGGATAAGGAAAATCAAGGATGGGGGACCCACGGTCAGCAGCCGCCTCAGGGTTGGTGCCAGCGCAGATGCCCAGAGAATCCTAAAGAGACTAGGGCAGGCGATCCACCAGCTGAACAGGGCAGGGCTTAGTAAAGGCCGGCTCGCCGGCTCTGCCATCATCCGGTTTAGTCTTCCAGCAAGGAGAAACCAATATGAAACTCCAGCACTGAGAAATGAACAAACGACTGGGGACCGAAGACCGGAAGTGCTTGCTTTTTAACTGTCTGCATTGTCTGTGCAACAAAAAACCCCGTCTCTTTTTGGCAATGACACACATGTGTTTTTTAAAAGCCTGGTTTTTCTCAGTATACCGTTAAAGATTTTTAAATTGTTTCATATCTGGTCAAGTTGAGATTTTTAGGAACTTCATTTTTTAACTTGTAATAAAAGTTTACAACTTGATTTTTTCAAAAAGGTCAACAAACTGCAAGCAGTTGTTAATAAAGGTCTCAAACAATTGCCTTTTTTAAAAAAAGAGAGAAGGCCAAGGCCCAGGATTTAGCTCAGTGGCACTGTGCCTGCCTAGCAAGCGCAAGGTCCTGAGTTTGATTCCCAGTACCAAAAAATAGAGAGAGAAAGGGCCACCCTGCGAGCCTGGCAGTCTGGGAGGACTTCCTGGAGGCTGCATGCTTGAGGTTAGCCCTTAGGAAAGAGGAGGTGCCCCCCCAGGGAGGGAGTTTCAGGCAGTGGGTGCTGCATACAGCCAGCCCCCACCCTGCCCCCGGCAGGACTGGGTGATGAGACCAGTGTGGCCCAGGGGCTGGCTAGAAAGTGGGGGCCCCTCCTGAGGGGCTAGATAAGCATTCACCTGGAGCCTTCTCTGGACCCTCAGTGTCAGGAGTATGGGGAGCCTTTCCCAGCACGGCCCTTGCAGGGGTTCAAAGGAAGCTTCTGCTGAGCACTGTCGGGGGGCTTCGTGGAGGAGGTGACCTTCTTGCTGGCTCCAAAGAGCCATGGAGGCTGGAGAAGGAAAGAAGCCTGTCGGCCAGGGACAGGTTCAGAGGAGAGTGTGCAGGGGCAAGGTTGGCCCTTACCTGAGGAGCGGGAGGCCTTGAGGGCTGTTTGAGTGGGGATGGCCGCTCGTGGGGCTGGGGTACAGCGGAGCCTGCCAGAGCCATGAATAATGGACCTTGTGGGCTTGGGCCTCACCTGTGCTAGGGCACTGGCCTCTGCCCCAGCGCTGCAGTCGTAACAGTCAGGACCTGTTGCCTTGGCAAGTGGCATTAACTGGGCACTGAGGCTCTGTGGGGACCTTGGACTCCTTCCAGAGGCCGTGAGATAAAGTGGACGGGTGAGAAGCACCGCTCGTTAACATCTCTAGGGCTCCTGTGTGGGGCCCCAGGCCCTGAAACGGGAGTGGGTGGGCTGCAGAGGGTAAGGGCGCATAGGGGACAGGGTCTGCGGTGCGTGGGGACTGCATGGGGGGCTGGGGCCCAGTGCCCTCAACTCAGCCTGACCCAGCCCTGGGCTTTCCAGAAGGATGGAGCCAGCAGGGTCTGCCAGCATCACTTGTCATCAGAGGGCCACTTGGGACCCGGTGTCCTGGGGCCTCAGCAGTGGACAGGCCAGCTTCTCGGTCAGTGTGGCCCAGTGTACACACCGGTCCCTCATCCATAACCAGGATAGTGCTGTGTCACCATGACCTGTACTGCACTCGGGCAGGGACCGGAGGAGAGCCGGGGAGAGATGCAGGTGACTCCTGCAGGCACGGCAGCTCACACCTGTAGTCCCAGCTGCTCAGTAAGCTGAGGCAGGAGGGTCACCTGAGCCAGCTTGGCAACACAGCCAGACCCCCACCTCAAAAACAACACAAAACAAAACCAGAAGTACCTCCTGGGGCTGGATGCAGCTCAGTGGGACAGCACCACTGTGAGCCCCAAGTTCGAATCTGGGCTCAGCCACCCTTACCTCTTGTGATTCGGGGCCAGTTCCCCCAGGACACTTCTGACACACTCGTCCTGAGGGATCCACCGTTCACACGCTGGTACCCCACATGTGCCCGAACAGTGATCAGCCCAAACTTCTGACTTTGTCCCAACTACGTAGCCTCTAGAAGCCAGCTTCTGGGGCCCCTGATACTCAAGACAGCTCCCATGCTGCAGGACGAGGGAGCACTCCGAGCCCTCAGTCCTCACCTGGAGCCAGGCTGCCACAGCCCAGGCCAGGGGCTTTCTCCACAGGCATAGTGTGTCTGCTTGGTGAGCGGTCTGTGTGATGAGCCCAGAAGCTAAGATGCCACCGCAGCACACCCCAAACACTTGCCCAGTCCTACTCCACATCCTGTCCGATGTCACTTCCACCCTCTGCGTGTTACGCTAACACTTCAGTTGTGCACAGATGCTTCAGAGCCAGAAAACATGTTTGTTTTGTGTGTGGTTAGGGGTTTTGTTTTGTTTTGTGGTTCTGGGAATTAAACTTAAGACTTCTGCACTGTACTATATCCCCTACCCTTTTTAAAATTTTTGAGATGGGGGCGTAAGTTGCCCAGGTTGGGCTGGAATTTGCAATCCTCCTGCCTCAGCCTCCCAGAGTGCTGAGGTTACAGGTGTGCACCACCACACCAGGGAAACCATGGTTTTCTCCCCTTGCCGCACTGTCCTTGTAAGAGGCTCACAGCAGTAGCCTCAGGTACTTTGTAGCAAGGTCTCTGGCTGGCTGAGCACCCTCCAGAGTTGGCTGAGCCTCTCACCCCACATTTGAAAATCACTTGACGGACATTGGCCTGACCTGGGGACTCAAGCAGGGGCAGGGTGGGTGAAGCTGGAGAAAGGCAGGTGCCACACAGGGACACAGCCACACGGCAGGGGTCGCAGCCAACGGGAGGCACTGCCCAGGGATGGCTCCGGGCTCTGAGAGCTCGTTGGGGTCCTGAGTAAGGGGCAGCAACAGGTGATCCGACAGTGGGAGTGGAGTGCGCCTCCTCTGGGGAAGGACAGCCTCAGTGTCCTCTCTGGAAAATGGGGACAGGAGAAGCAGCATCTTAGAGCCCCCTGGACTCTACGCTGATGAGGGAGAACCCAGAGAAGGTGGCCTGGCCCCAACACTGTCTCCCCCACCCGCTCCAGGTTCTGGCATTTGTGACTCAGTGAGTGATGTCTGTCAAAGGGTCACCTTACCAGCAGGTGGTTGGGGATGGCTGAGTCCCCCCACCCCAGGCAGTGGGTGATGTCTGTCAAAGGGTCACCTGCCCAGCAGGTAGTTGGGGATGGCCTGAGTCCCCCCACCCCAGGCAGCGGATGACTGGTGGGACTGGTTCCAGAGCTGCTCCACCAGCGACAGTCAGGCTCTTGGAATTTAAATGAATAACAACGCCTCCAGCGAGCGAGCAGCAGGTCTTCCACAGCACACACAAGTGCCCGTGGCCGCAGTGGCTGTCCATGGCCACAGTGGCACCGTTGGATGGGACAGGACGGGACAGGACTGTCTGACTCATCCAAGAGAGCTCTCAGGGCAGCCGGGGCTGTTCTGAGGAGCTTGGAGTCCATGGAGCAGAGAGATGAACTGCAAAACCTGGGAAGGCCCCAGCAGGTCACACAGTGACTCCAACAGACTGCTCAAGGTCTGCACTGATGAAACGGCATTTTCTCTACTCGCGGTGGTGCAGAGCCACCCTGAAGGCCAGGCCCATTGTGGTGGCACACACCTGTAATCCCAGCATTTGGGAGGCTGAGGCAGAGGAGGATCACTGCAAGTTCCAGGCCAGTCTGAACAACAGAGTGAGTTCAGAGCCAGTTACATAGTGAGACCTGGTCTCAGACGACAACAACAACAACAACAAAAATACAAACCATGTTCGAGGCCAGCCTGGTCAACTTCGTGAGAACCTGCCTTAAAATTTAAAAATGAAAGGACAGGCGGGGGATGTAGCTCAGCAGCGGCCACTCTTGCCTGGCAAGTATAAAGTCCTGAGATCAGTTCCCAGTACCGAAAAAAGAAAAGGCTGGGAATATAGCTCAATAGTAGAGTGCCCCTGGGTTCAATCCCCGGTACTGAAAAAAAAGGAGCATTTTCTATTTCATTAAATACATCAAAGCAGGTCCCAACAGAAGTTGGGCCTGGCACCAGGGGCAGAGGGTGACCATCTAGTAAGACTGAGTCACAGCACCCCACTGATTGCACAACAGGGGAGTGCGGGACAAGCACAGGCCTGGGAGAACCAGAGTGCTATCAGAGTCTGGGTTCTGGGGAGCCTGTTTTATGTGCCCGGCCTGGTGCTGGGGATGTTGATCCTGATACCCTGGGAAAGCAGTGGAGGGACTGAGCCCCTGGCCTAGGGTCACAGAAGTGTGTCAGGGGCTCTGCTCTGGACCTGCGCCTCCCGGGCTGACCACTGAGCTCCCTCTGCCCGCGGGAACAACCAGCTCGTGAGGCTGCAGTACCATGGCGGCCAGAGCTAGGCAGGACGGACCCGGATGGGCCTCTCAATTTCCCCTCCTCCGGCGCCATCTTGCCTGAGCCCAGACAGCCCCCTTCTCCCCGACTCTCAGAGGCCTCTGTCTTGAGGATACAGCTCCCTGTGCCACATAGTGACCAGGACAGAGCTTGAGTTTCAGAGCCAGGCCCAAGTGGAGTTCTGGCTCAGTTACTCCCTATCTGATCCATTCTGGGCAGATCACTGAGCCTTTCGGGCGTCTGGATTGTGGAAGTAGCATGAGCACAAGCCCGTCCTCTGTAGGCTCCCTGCGGGCCGCACAGGGTCAGATCTGCTTCTGAGCGCTTGGTCCCCTGCCGGCTCTGGGGCAGGTACAGCGTGGATCAGAGCCGGCACCCTAGGGTGCATGGAGAGCCCCGTGTGCGGCGGTGGCGACCATACAACCCTGGTACCTGTACCCCGGGTGGACTCGTGTGGTATTGGGGAGGGCTGTGGATTCTGGAGCTCCATGAGCTCTGAGCCGCCTCACCCTGCCCGTACCTGGCGACATTTGGGTGACGGTCACTGCCTGTCACAGTGCACCACCCTCAGGGGCCCTCCTAGAGCCACACGTTTCTCTAGCACCGCCCATTAGGCAGCAAGGGAGAAAAATCCCAGGGCCCACCCTGCCTCCTCCGCTTCCCCTCATCTGCCCCCAGCCACCCGAGAAGTCCTGGGTAACCCAGTTTGAAAACCACGTGGCCAAAGACAAGGTGGGACGATGGTGGCGATGGTGATGCCTGTTACACATAAGGGCTGGAAGGACTTAAAAATCATAAAGGCATTGCACCATCCTACACCTGGGGAAACAGGCTTGAAATAAATCTAGACCTGTGTAGTTCCCGGCCCAGTCCACCTGTGATGGAGTCTGAGGCAGGTCCCATTCTGTTGATAGAGAAAACTGGCTCCCGGCAGGGACACAGCTGGCCCCACAGCCTCAGTCCCTGCCGCTACGGCCAGCCCTTCCCTGGGGACACCCGGGTCCCCCACAGTCACAGGGCCACCTGTGTGTCACCCCACAGAGCTGCCCTCCTCCGAGCACCTGAGCGTGGCGGATGCCACCTGGCTGGCCCTCAACGTGGTGTCCGGCGGCGGCGGCTTCTCCAGCTCCCAGCCCATCGGCGTGACCAAGATCGCCAAGTCGGTCATCGCCCCGCTGGCCGACCAGAATATCTCAGTGTTCATGCTGTCCACCTACCAGACGGACTTCATCTTGGTGAGTGCCTGGCGCATGCGCACATATGCATGCGTGTGCGCACGCAGACGCACATACGCCTCTTCTCCCGCTTGCGTGCTCCGCCCACCCACGTGACTGACGGCCTCCTTTCCACCCCACCCCCCAGGTGCGCGAGCGTGACCTGCCCTTCGTCACCCACACCTTGTCGTCAGAGTTCACCATCCTGCGGGTCGTCAATGGCGAGACGGTGGCAGCCGAGAACCTGGGCATCGCCAACGGCTTTGTGAAGCCCAAAATGGGTGAGTTGGGCTGGAGCCTACACAAGAGGGCTCTGTCCGCCGAGCAGATATCTGCAAGCACCAGATTTAACATGGTGCTGGGATCCTGTAGTCACGGGCTCGCAAGGCAGGTAGACGTGGGTGCAGCCAGTGATGGCCAGAGGTCCCTCCCTGCCACCCCAGCCCCAGAATGGCTCCCGGGATCGAGGACTGGGGAGTTGGAGCCAAGCAGGACTAAGCTGGGTGGTGATAACACAGTGCGAGGGCAGAAGCCCGTGGGGAGGTGTAGGTGGGAGGAAGGCCCGAGAGGCAGCGGGCCAGGTTTCGCCAGGCCCAGCCCCACCCTTGGGCTGTGTGGCCTCACCGCTGCACTCCACTGTGTCTTTGTGCCCTCGCAGTCCAGAGGCCGGTCATCCACCCGCTGTCCAGCCCCAGCAACAGGTTTTGCGTCACCAGCCTGGACCCCGACACACTGCCCGCCGTCACCACGCTCCTCATGGATGTCATGTTCTACTCCAGTGGGTAGGGCCCCGCCCTTGTGTGTAGGACGCTGCAGCTTGGGCCAAGGACTAGACGGGAGAGGGGAGGGCCTGTCCTGGAGCTGACGGAGGCTCAGTCTCCCTAAAAGCTCCAGTCTTCGTGTGAGACGCCCTCCCTGGATGTGCTGGACTTGGTACCGTAGAGGCGATAGCTCAAACCCCTCTTCCCTGAACCCTGTGCAGGCCCTGTCGGTTGAGGGGCTGAGAATTCAGGTGTTCTCCCTCAGGGGATAACAGATTGCATCGGTACTCAGAATGAATTTTGCCAAGCTTAGGCCAACACCAGGTGGGGTGGGGCAGGTCCAGAGAGCTGGCCGTGATCTCAGCCTGTACGGAAGCATAGGCTTGGGACACACAGGGACACAGGCCCTGTGCACGAGGAGGTGTGCAAGACACTGGGACACTGAAGAGCAGTACCCACCCCTGCAAATGCAAGGGACTGTGGTGGGGATTCCCCCTCACCCGCTCCTCACCCCCAGAGTGAAGGACCCCATGGCAACTGGTGAGGACTGTGGCCACATCCGCTTCTTCTCCTTCTCCCTCATTGAGGGCTACATCTCCCTGGTGATGGACGTGCAGACCCAGCAGAGGTGAGCCGGGTCAGGGCTCCGCCATGTCCCTGAATGAACGGGGTCTGCACCTCACCCTGGTATCCTCTGTTCCAGAGCCCTGGCCCCACCCCAGGCGAGAGGGGTGCACAGCCTGGGTGCTGGGAGGGGACTGTCAGGCAGGGAGCGCCCAGAGTGTCAGTCCTGACCCCCTCTTCCATGTCAGGTTCCCCAGTAACCTGCTGTTCACCAGTGCATCCGGAGAGCTGTGGAAGATGGTGCGGATCGGTGGGCAGCCCCTGGGATTCGGTGAGCCCCGGAGCACCCACGCAGGGTGGAGTAAATGGGGAGACTGAGGCTAAAGTCCCATTCTGAGGGCCAGGGTGTGCAGGCATCCAGGGCATGGGAGCAGTTGCAGCCACAGACATTAGTCAGAGGGATTTTATTTTCTCCTAACTCAAAAATTAAGGCCAGGCCGGGCATGGGGATGCCTTGGGAGGCTGAAGCAAGAGGATTGTTAGTTCAAGGACAGCCTGAACTACACAGTGAGACCCTGTCTCAAAAAAAGAAAAAAAAGATTAAGACCAGGTGTGGTGATGCATACCTATAATCCCAGCACCCAGAGGCTGAAGTAGGAGAGTCTCAAGTTTCAACCCAACCTGGGCAACTTAGCAAGACCCTGTTATAAAATCTTAAAAATACCTTTTTTAAAGGGCTGGGGAGGTAGCTCAGTGCAAAGGCCCTGAGTTCAATTCCCAGCGCCCACCAAACAAAAAAAAAGAGGTCCAAGTGAGACAGATGTGGCCAAGAGCCATCCTCTCAGCCACCCATACAACTCCAGCTCTGCACACGGCAAGCTCACAGGATGGCAGGGAAGATGTGGGCAGGAACAGGCGAAGGGCAGCATGGTCACAGCAAGCATGAGGAGCCCCGAGGATAGAGGGTGTCGCTGGGCAGTGGGTCAGAGATGCCCCGGGAGTCCCTGAGGACAAGGTACAGGCTGAGGGGAGCCGGCTTCATGAAGGCTGAGTGCTGAGCTCTGAGCTCTGAGCTCTGTTTTCCCCAGATGAGTGTGGCATCGTGGCCCAGATCTCTGAGCCCCTGGCTGCAGCTGACATCCCTGCCTATTACATTAGCACGTTCAAGTTTGACCACGCACTGGTGAGTGCCGGGTGGGGCAGGGCAGGGCCTGGGATCTTGTGCAGCCGGGAAGGGCTGTGGTTCCAGCTCACCGCTCCGCTTCCGGCCCACAGGTTCCAGAGGAGAACATTGGCGGGGTGATCAATGCCCTGAAGGTCAGCCAGGCCGAGAAGCACTGATGGCCTCACTCCCCGCTGCCCCGTGTGTTCTTACAGTATTTCTCCAGACTGGAAGAGCGGCCCAGGGACACCTCTGAGGGCCGAGGCCTCCCAGGAGCCCCATCCCTTGGGAAAGGGACCTGCCTCCCCCATCTTCCCTGAAAAATGGCGTCTGAGGCCCCAGAGGCTGGGGAGCAGCCCCACCTCCTCCTGGGGCTGTTTTGGGGGTCTGGCAGAGCCAAGCTGGGCATGTGGAACCCTTGGTGGCCTCTGTGAGGTGGGAGGGCTGAGCAGGGTGGTCACTGCTCCCCATTCCAGGGGCTCAGGACTGGTTCCCCCGAAGTGGAGGCTGGTGGACCATCCTGTCCCCACCTGCCAGCCACAGGGCCTGCGCCCCACCTCAGCACGACTGCCAAGAGAGCCCTGTCCAGACTGCCCACCCTACGCACTCACCTGGGAGCTGGACCAGCTTTTCTGTCCTCTGCTTTCCTGGACCCTCCTCAGGCAGCAGAGCCTCAGTTCCCCCTCGGGGGGTGCTTCCCCAGCATATTCTGCACCTGGGGTTTCTTAGGTCACCCCAACCTCCCAGACAGTCATCTAGACCAGCACAGGCTCCCGTCCCCACCAGCCTCCCCATTCGCACCCCACATTTGTGGGGTACAGGTGGCCTCCGCCCCCCACCTGCCTGCCTGACCTCTGGGGCCAGGCGTTCACAAGTACTTGACCCGGGAGGCAGCTTAACTGAGCCTTAACAGAGAAAATCGTAGTTCGTTCTAGATTTTTATTTAACGTATTTGCAGTTGTGCCCGGGCTGCTGCTGTTGGCTGTCTTTTTTTTTTCTCAAGAGATGGGTTCTGACTGAGTTCTCCCCAGGGGCACAGGGCTCAGTGTCACATGGGCCCCTGCGGGTCTAGGGACAGGAGTGGGCACCAGAGCTGTCATGGGCCTGGGCCTGTCCCAGGAACAGAAGTCCAGTGCAAGGCCCCAAGCCTGGGCGTTGCCCCAGGAGGGGCTGAGGATGGGGCCCCTGCTCTCCTGGGACAGTGCTCATGTGAGCTGCTCCAGCCAGGCCAGCTGGCCTGAAGGTCCCCACACGCGGAGCTGCATAGGATCCTTGCAAGGCCCAGCATGCTAAATAGAAACCCACCTTCCTGCTTGATTTTTAAGTTAATTCATTTTGCACAAGATCCCAAAAGCAACCAAATCTCAATTGTTTGCTGGTCCCAAAAGGGAGGTGGCCGAGTGGGCAGGGCTGTGTTTTAGACCCAAGTCTCCTTGCTTTCCATAGAAGGCCTTTATTTTTCGGGGCACCCCTCTGCACCCCTTTCCATCTGTTTCCTACCGGGCCAGTGCGTCTGCTCGGTGTCCCTAGTCATGTAGCCCCTAGACTTCTAGGACTGTCTCTTGTACACACCTACAAATGTGTTTTTTGTTGATAGAGATATATATACTGTAAATAGCATATATACCTGAGCAATATATATGGTAATATATTCTGTGTGCACCAGGCATGGGTGCAGACCCCCCGACCTGTGTGCGCGTGTGTAGGCGCGAGGCCTGTCCCACTGTTGGCAGTGTCAGCCGCACGCGCCGGTGTTGGGCCACCGCTTATTCTTGAGTCTATAGGCAATACGATTATGTGACAGCGGTGGGTCCCGCAGACCTCCCTGGAGAGCAGACAAAAACAGCAGCCCACAGAGCCTGCCTCAGGGCGGTGTCGGGGCCCAGCCATGGCCTGGATCTGTTCCCTACCCCCACTTCTCCAGCTGAGGCCCCTGCACACCCATGTTTTGTTGGAGGGGGACATTGGTCTCGAGGAGCAGTTGGGACTTGTTTTTAGCAGAGCACCACCTCGCAGTGTTACTTGAGCACCTGGCCACACCCCAGCCTTCCCTCCTTGGATGGCTCCTTTCCTGGCGGCCCCCTTACCTGGTTTCTTTCTATCAGCAATCTTAGAAATCCCAGGTTCTTTGCCCAGGCCTGCTCTGGGAACTGGTGTCATCTCTCTCGGAACAGCTCAGATGACTTTGCTGTGTCCCTGGGAAGAGGCTGAGGCTAGGGCACCCCCGGCACCCTGCTGCTTGGCCACAGGGAGCCCCTGCTTCCCCACCCCCATCACTTGTGGGAGGAAGCGCTTTTTTGTTCCATATGCAGTGCACTTGAAGCGTGGTCCCCAAAGCCCTGGCCAGGGGGCTCCCAGGGGCCACTGGCCCTTGACCTTCAGCTCCAGACCTCCCCTGGAGGCCTGCAGGGCTGTTAGTGCCCAGAGCCTGCAGGTCAGCGGCAGAGGTGCACGTGGGGGTGGGGAGGAGGAGGACCTGGCAGGGGGTGACCAGGCCAGATCACCCCTGCCCAGGGGTGTGTGTCTCTGCCTCTCTGGAGTGGACACCACCCTTCACCCCTTCCCTGCACGGAGCAGAGCGTGAGGAGTCTAGGATGAGTTCCCAGGGGACAGGGCCCCTAACCACAAACCTTCTCTAAGATTTGGGGGGCCCTGGGCACCACCCACCACTGGCCCAGGCAGCAGGTCTGGGGTGGCTGGGGACGTGACCATCATACACCTGGCCTCGGTTCCCAGCAGAGGGGGACCTTGTCTGTGGGCCTGGTCCCTGTGAGGGTCAGAGGGTGCCAGGGAGGCGAGGTCCAGAGAGGTGGCAGATGGGAGGGGCCCCAGTCCAAGCCCAGCCTGCGGTCTGCTGGGTGATTTTCAGAAGAGATCCTGAGCCACCTGGCAGACCTTTGGGGTTCCCCAGGTCACCCTGGGCCACCTTCAGAGCCTCTAGGCTGGATGTGGGCTAGGAGGGGGGGACACAAGACATTCCCAGGTGATGGCAGCCCTGTTGTGACTGGGAATTTGATGTCCCATTTCTGAATGAAGCGGGAAGGGAAAGAAGACCACTGTCCACGGGGAGTGGGCATGGATGGGGGGGTCTTCAGCTTCCGGGGTTCCCAGAGGCGCTGTGGGCGGGCAGGGCGGCCGGGGAGGAGGGAACCCAGGTAGCCAGATAGCCTGTCCTGTTTCCAAGCTCGTCCCAGGTATTTTTCTTTCCTTTTGAAGTTAGAAGCTGCAAAATCTCAAACCCAGGCATCCCTTTCCCTCCCCACAGACTGAGGGCGGAGGCCACCCTCCTGGAGGTGAGAGTTGGCAGAGGCAGCTGCTGGGCCCGGACCTGGCCTGGGTGGCTGTGAGCAGCAGCGGGGATGGGAAGGCTGTGGCTCTTGGGTACCGGAGGAGGGCGTTCCAGGCCTTGGCACTGTGCCGTACGTGGTTCTTAGGCATGTGTGTGAGTGCGTTCGTGTGGGCATGAGTGTGTGCTTGCAGAGTCCAGCTCAGCTCATTCAGTATTTAGAGTCCATGGGCCACATGGACAGAGGTGACCCTGTGGGGTCACCTAGCTAGCTTCAAGGTGGTGGGGGGGCCACCTGGGCAAGGGCACCCCCACTTGCCACATGGAAATTGCCCTGTGGAAGGGGAGAGGTGTCCCTAGCCCAGGCCTGGACGACCATGCCACAGCCGGACCCGGCCTCAGATCGTCCCGAATTCACAGGCCAGGTTCACAGCGGAGCCCAGCAGGGAGCAGAAGCAGGCTATCCCCGGTGTGTGTTCCTTCCCACTGCTTCAGTTTCCCTACAGAGAACATGGCCCAGGAATCGCTGGGTGGGGTTGGGTCCAGAAGAAACCCCAAGCCCCCTTGCTCTATGCCAAAATCATTTCCGTTATCCTGAGATGGGGTGTGGAAGGGGTGCGGGCACTCCTGCCTGCGGCCCCCTTGCCCGCACCTGGCGTGCCACGCCCGGTCACCAGCATCTGCAGCAATGGCACCAGGTGGAGGGGACGAGTGGCAGGCCTCGCCCAACCCAGGGGCCCTCACGCTTATTTTCTGTCAGACATAGAACCCTCGAAATTCACGTACTGTATGATGAAGAGAAAAAAGTACCTAATGTTCCCCAAAAAAGACAGTATATTTTGTACTTTGTAAAGTGTTAATTAAAATGACGGGGAAAAAATGCCCCTGGCTGACGGCTGTGTGGTTTTGTGTAGGTTTATCAGAGGATCTTCTCTTTCCCTTTCCTGGTGGGGTTGGGAAAACAAAGCCAGGGACTGGAGGTATCGCACCTCAAGTCTGAGAGATAGTCTCCCAGAGCAGGAGGGACTGGGTCTTTCACCTGTGCTGCAGAACAAGTTGCCCAGACTTAATGGCTTCAGGTCGTCATCATTTACATAGCACAACCTCCATGGGCCAGGGATTTGAGGGCAGGTGGCTCAGCTGTGCTGGCTTCACTGCTCCCGAATCTTGTTATCTTACACTGTGTTCTCTTGCTGTAACAAAACACCTGAAGCTGAGTACTTTGTGAAGGAGAGATTTTGTTTTTTGCACTAAGGATTGGGCCCCTGTACATGCTAGGCAAGTAAATATTCACCCCAAGTTCCTCCCCAGCAGAAAAGAGGCTCATGGATTCGGAGGCTAAGAGATCCATATCATTCATAGTCAAAAGAAAGGAACCCAGCCAGGTATGGTGGCACATGCCTGTCATGCCACAACTCTGGGAGGCTGAGGCAGGAGGATCTAAGGATCCCTTCGCCCTAAGCCTCTTCCCACTGGAGCAGTGCTTGGGATGGACCCTGAGCCTGTTTGGTTGTCCCCAAAGACAGACAGCACTGGGCAGTGGTTTGTTTTTCTTTTGGTACCAGGGATCAAACTGCAAGGCAGGCGGCAGAACCACTGAGCTACATCCCTGGCCCTGGGCAGTGTTTTAATGGGTCCCCCACACTGTAGGGCATGTGGCTGCTACAGTGCTGTGGCAGCAATACCAAGATGACTCCTCTGCTCCTCCTGGAGCCTCCGCCCCTAACTACACTCACCTGCTGTCCTCTGACCAGCACTGGTTTGAGGCAGCAACACCATATGGGATTTTCGGGCTTTTTTTGGTGTTTGTTTTGTTTGTAATTCTGGGACTGGAACCCAGGACTTTAGCACTGAGTAACATTCCAGCCCTTTATTTTGAGACAGGGTCTCAGTTACCCAGGCTGAACTCAAACTTGTGATTGTCCTGCCTCAGCCTCCCACAGTGCTGCGATGACAGACATGCACCACCCTGCCTGGCTCTCGACAGAGTGCACCTGGGGGAGGCCCCAGTGCAGAGAGAGGCACAGGTCTCGGGGCTCCGCACACTGTGAGTTCCACAGCGCAGGCCCATCCAGCTGGATCGAAGGAGTTGGGGATCTCAATCTGGGCAGTGGGGTCCCCCAGGAGGTGGCTGCTGTGCCCAGGGGACAGAGCCCCTGTGGGTTTGGGCAGGTCCGGTCCCGGTGCGGGGCAGGTAGTTGTCTCGAAGGGCTGCACTGCTGCAGGGTGCTGTCCCCAAGGCCACCTGGAAGGGTCACATTGAGCTGCACCAGAAGCTGGGCGGATCCATCAGCCCTGCTGCTGCCTGCTGTCAGGAAAGGTGGTGCACATCTGTCATCCCAGCACTGCAGGAGGCTGAGACAGGAAGATTGCAAGTTTGAACCCAGCCTGAGCAACTTAGTGAAATCCTGTCTTAAAATATAAATTGTAAAGAGTGCTGGGGACACAGCTCGGCACGAAGACCCTGGGTCCAATCCCTGCACTGGCAAGGGAAGAAAACTAACCCACTGTCTGTAACCCCTGGGGATGTGACCAGGCCGGCCCTGGGCACCATACTGTCAGCAGTCAGCAGGTGTCCTGTTCCTGCTGTGGCCACTAAACGAGCCGGCTGCGTCACTGGAGAACTGCTCACTTCACCCTGCCACCCTCCTGTCCCGTTGGATCAGAATCGACCCTCACCGTTCCACAGCGGGGCTTCTGGGGAGGTGATGAATCACAGTGCAGGAGCCCAGCAGTGACAGGGCGCTGGGGCTGGCGGAGGTGCAGTCGTGGCCGTGGCCTTGGGGACACCTGGCCCCACCTGTCCCTGCTACCATGAAGCTAGCACCTCCTCCGCTGGACCCTTCCGCCCAGACACCGCGCCCCAGGCCGGACCAGAAGACACCTGGCTGCTGGGACCTGGCGGGAGAACTCTCCTCTTCCCTCAGTCTGTGTCCTGTGTCCTCAGGGCTTTTATCACAGTGCCCCGGGCCACCTTTCCCACTCTCCCTCCGCAGCCATCTTTGTTTCTCGCCTTTCCCTCCCCTGGATGAGCTGCCTGGCAGGGACGAGAGCCACACACACCAGTGTCTGCTCAGAGGGTGAACTGGGTACAGCAGGCAGTGCATGGCTGGGCCCAAAGCAGGGAACAATGGACCATCCTGTCCTCTACGGTGGCCTTCACAGGTTTCTAGCTGCCTCTACCAAACACCTTTTATAAAGCTAATTTCTCAACGATCAATTAAAAAGTTTTTTTTTCTTTTAAGACAGAGCCTCACCATGTAGTTCAGGCTGGCCTCAAATTTCCAACGATCCTCCTGCCTCAGCCTCCCTAGTGCTGGAATTGCAGGTGTGCCACCACACCTGGCTCAAGTAAAAATTTTAAAAGACTACTTCAGTTCTTAAACCAGTAGAAAATAGACTTTATTCCAAAAGAGATTCTGAAACACTGTGAAGGAAAAAACAAGTTACATTCCAGACTGAAATGCTTTTCACAACTTCGGATCTTTCCTGTCCGCAGCCAGGCTCCAGTCAGGCCCTGGGGCTGTGTTGGGCCGCAGCTTCCTCCTGCCGGGCTCCTCGGCCTCCAGGCCGGCAGTGAGGATGGTCACGAGGGCCAGGCACACACTGCAGCTCCTCAGGGAACTTCTGGCTGCCAGGAGCCTGCGGAGGCAATGACCAGGCACAGCAGTGCAGAGGGCGAGGACGAAAGCCCAGGCTGAGGCACACACTGACCTGCTGTGACAGGGACACAGTCACCCTCCTGAGCACTGTGTGGCGAGGCCACCTCCAGAGACCACCAACAGACTGGCGTTCCACGCAGGACGGGGCCCCAGCGTGTGTCGCTGGACAGGGTGACGGGTGCCGGCTGTCCTCTCAGGCAGTGCAATGGCCCAGGCTGCTCAGGAGCGTGTGTGCCCGTGACTCCCCACAGCACCCACCAAGGGCGTCAGGAGACCGAGTGCCCAGAGCCACCCAGGCACAGGACTGGACTGGAACAGGCTAGGAAGGGGACTCAGACGAAGGACTTGGCCAGTGTCACCATGTGGTCCACACCACACGCCATGTCCACAGGCTTGCCGGGCATCGTCACCTGGAAGAGAAGCCCAGAGCCCCACAGGCATGAGGGAGACAGCTCGCTGTGAGGCAAGCGGCCTGGCTGCCCTGTCAGGAAGCTGGGCCCTGAGCCTCAGCTAGACGCCCACCTGGCCAACGGCAGCGGTCCTGGGACAGGCTGTCCGCTCCCTGCCACCCACAGTGGCCACGACTGCCCACACCTGCCTGAGAGCCCACCCCGGGCTGCGTGCATGGCCCAGCCTGTGCCTGTCCCAGGGCCACTCCCTCGGGGACTTCCCCAGGGGACACTGCCTGGGCTCCTGCCTGGTGGCTCTGGTCCTTTCCCCCTGACCCCACTGTAGGCACAGGCTGTGTCTCGGGTACCATGTCCTGGCTGCATCTCAGACGACACCAGGGCCTCGCTGCACGGAGCCCCTCTGCCCATCTGGGCAGACATGTCCTGAAGGCCCAGCAGGACGCCCTGATCCATGGAGACAGCCGGTGCCGAGCCTGTAAGCAGCTGCTCTCCAGGGCCTTCTCTGTCCCCACCACCAGTCACCACGACTGTGCCCAGGACGCAGCCACACACATCCACACTGCTGTGAGGACAGGTGGGGAAAGCTCACACCACCCTGCAGTCCTCCTTCTCAACTGGAAACTGCATTCCCGTGGCCTTCCAGGGGGTCCTGTGTGTGTCTGTGTGTAGTGCCAGACCCGCTGGGTAGGTTGTCCAGGCTGGGCTCAAACTTGCATTTCTTCTGCCTCAGCCTCCTAGGGTGCTGGGATTACAGGCATGTGGCACCACACCTGACCTTCCACAGGTTTTTGGGTTTTTTATTCTTTTTATACTGGGGATCAAACTCAAGACCTTGTGCTTGTGAGGCAGGCACTGTGCCACTGAACTACATTCCCTGCACTTTCACAGGTTCTTGATGCAAAGGAAGATGAATCCCCTCTCATTCTTCCTAAGAGACAAGTGTGAATGCAGTGCCCTGTGTGGCTGGGCCCTCAGACCCTCCCCAGGATGCAGATGCCTGCCCTGCCGAGCAGATGCCAACCCGGCTGCCTTCCTGGGCGACAGCACCCAGCCGGGCGGCATCAGGGCTGGTGAGGCACTGTGCCCACTGTGCAGTCTGAGTCCTAAGACATGCGGCCTGGCCTGGAAACATGGAGGGGGCCGGCCTGGAGTTCCCTCCACACCTCCGGCTCGGGAGACCAGACCATCAGGGACTCGGGGCCATCAGGCAAGCACAGGGGAAGGCTGGGGCCATGTCACCCCACCACCCGCTCCCCAAACACACGGCCTTAGCAGAACCTGTCACAGAAAACACTCTGCAAACACGATGGCCCATCGCTGTGGAGGGCGCTCCAGGGTGGCCCTGCAGCAGCAGCAAAACGTGCTGCCGCCGTGGTGACACCCAGGTGGGCCTTAGCAACGACCCAGGCCATTAGGGATACTGCATTTACCTTCCTGCTGGAGAGTGCCCCCCTCTGCACGCACCTGGGGCCCACCTGCAGTCCTCAGCACCTACATCCTTGTCCCTGAATGGCCTGGCTCCCAGAGCCCAAAGCAGTGCGGGCCTCTCGGCCTCAGTGCCAACAGCATCCAGCGCGGAGGCCTCTGGGAGGGTGCTCGCCAGGGTTCCAGCTCCCCCTGGCGGTGGTCAGGGCTCAGGGCTGAGTCCAGGTCAGAAGGCCCAGCCCTGCTCTTTCTGCCAAGAGCCAATCCGCAGGGGAACAGCTGCAAAACCAAGTCCCTGCGAGAGGGGCAGCAGCGACCAAGCCCTACAGCAAGTGGCCACCCTGTACAGGCACAGGACAGCAGAACTGGTGTGCAGAGCTGCAGGCGCCACTGTCTTGTCCCCAGGAACAGAGGCAAGTAGGGGTGGCCAGGCACCAGAGGCCACCCGACTGTGGACTGCAGCCCCAGCTCACCCAGGGCCACGGTGCGGGCCGTAGGAGGGGAGCCAGAAGTCAGAGGCCTCCCAGCCTGAGCCCCTACGTGGTCCTCACAGAGAAGCCCCAGGCTCTGAGGAGGCCGCTCACAGGCCAGCGCCTGTCCTCAGTGCCACCCTGGGTCACAGGGAAGCCAGGAAGCCACAGAATGGCCCAGCCTCACGCAGCAGCACATGCGTCCTCAGCACTCCTGGAAGGAGAGGGCTGCAGTGGACCTGAGAGTGACCCACAGTGGTCCCCACATGGTCCCATCCTCCAGGGCACTTTCCAAAGGAGGGAGTGACATGTCCCTCCACAGACAAGTGAGGAAGCACCTGCTTCAAGACTAGGTCACCTTTCAAAACATGAGTGCAAGGCAAGAGGCCAGACTAACACCCTCAGAACTACCCTAACCCCTGGACCTGAGGGTCCCCAAAGGCCATGCCACAGGCGCGGTCCCAGGGAGCATGACAGGGTGGGGTGGCACAGCTGCTCACCTCCTGGTGCCCAGGAAGATGAGAGCAAGGAGGGCAGGGCCTGCACCCCAGCCCTGCATCACCTCAGCACTCCAGGGCCGCCTTACCTGGCTACGCCTTCCCTTCACCCAACCTCTTCAGACCCAATCCAGAGGGACGAGGACACAAAGGCCCAGCACGAACCTCAGGTGGACCAGGGGAAGGTCGGCTAGGTGTTCTCCCCAGGGCACGTGGGCAGCACGCGCTGTGCCACAGGGGTGCCAGGCCCTGCACCCCACCCAGTGACCAACCTGCCTATGTCGCCTCGGAGGGTGACATGCTCTGGTCTGCGGAAATGAGGCTGGGTGGGGGCCCACTGCTCCCAGTTTCCCAAGCTGCCCTCAGGCACAGGGAGGATGCACCAGGTGCAGAGGACAGAATGCGTTGAAGGCCAGCGGCCCAACTTCCTCCACACCACCAGACCCAGCTTGAGGACCACGGCAGCCCCAGCGTCCCTGGGCAGGACTTGAGGGCCACACACTTCTAACAGCTTCAAGTGTCCACTTCAGCCAGGCGTGACGCCTGTGAACCTACACTCTGAGAGGCTGAGGCAGGAGATCATGTCTGGATTACATAGCAAGACTCAAAGTTCTGCCTTGCTCTCTCACAGAGTACACCTGCAGCGCTTAGTAACGGAGCCTGGGCCTGCTGAGATCTGGAGAAGCAGCAGACAGTGAAGGGCCGACAATGTCCCAGGACGGTTTGCAGTGGGGCTTTGACAGATTCACATATTATCTAAATCATACCCATCTTTTGCATTCACACTGGGCATGGTGGTAAAGACGTGTAATCTCAGCCCTCTGGGAGGCTGATGTAGGAAAATCGCAAGTTTGAGCCCAGCCTAGGCAACTTAAGTGAACCCCTGCGTCAAAATAGAAAGGAATAGGGGCTGAAGGCATAGCTCAGTGCGAAGGCCCTAGGGCTCAATGTCCAATCAGGAAAAAGGAAGGGAGGGAGGGAGGGAAGAAGGAAGGAAATGCCTTTCATAATTTTCAGAACACATTATCATCATCCAGCCTTTCGTGAAAATACACACACACACACACACACACACACACACACACACACACACACACACACACACACACACACACACACACACACACACACACACACACACACACTCTCTCTCAGCAGAGGCAGCCAGGAAGGAAACTTAAGCAAGCAGGGTCCTGGCTGCCTGTGGAACAAGGCCTGGGGGGGCAGACACCTGTTTTCCATAACACACTTCTACCACTCGCAAATGTTCTGCATTCAGGAAGAACAGTAACTTCTCTTAGAATAACTTGAAGACCTGACTTAGTAAACAATGCTAAGATGAACGCAATTTGAGAAAAAAGCCTCTTTCCCTTCTGAGCGTGAAATGAGCCACCTCGTTTTGCCTTACCCTCCACGGGAAATACTGGTCTTCCAGGCGGCCGATCCCCAGGCAGCCACGGACATTCTTGCCCCACACGAACATCTCACCTTTGTCTGCAAAGGAAGGAGAGAGGTGTGGGGACCGTGCAGAGTGCAAATCCTGGGACAGCCAGCTTCCCCGTGCGCAGGCAGCTGAGCTGCTGAGACTGTCGCATGCACAGAGGGTGCCTGGGCTGCTGCTCACCCCCAAGCAACCCACACACCACGCGGTCCTCAGCCCTCCTCTCCACCGGCCCACAGCAGCGCTTCCTGACCACAGGACAGTGATCCGCTATTCCGTCTGGCTTTCCACCTTCAGGAGCACTCAGTCAGGTGACACTTACTGGGTCCTGACTGTGCCAGGTCTGTGCATTTGCTGGGAGCTGGGGATAGGACATTCACGGGGCTTGAGCCAGCCCAAGAGCTACAAATAAAGAAATGATCAGGCCAGGGATTTGGCTCAGTGCCACGGAGCCTGCCTCGCAAGTGAAAGGTCCTGAGTTCGATCCCCGGTGGGGGCGGGTGGTCAAACCAAAGCACAGGAAGTGCCCCAAAGACGAGGGCACAGTGCTCCAACGAAGTACGCCGCACTATGGTTTCCGTATGGCTCATCGCCCACAGGTCCTGCAATGGACACTGGGTCCCCACCACCACGGAGCCAGGAAGTGGAACCTGAGATCGGGTCCTGAGTGCCACCCACACAAAGGTACCCACGCAGGCCTACGGGAGTGTGCAGTATGTGGCTCCTTGTGCTTCTTTTCCACACACACAGCTCCCTGATTGGGAACTTTCCAGCCTCCAGGACTGCAAGCAAAACAAAGGCCTTTTCTCTAGAAATCACCCAGGCCCGGGTCTTCTGTCCCAGCGACAGAAAGTGGACTAAGCCATGGCGGGAGACACCGCTGGCCAGGGCTCTGGTAAATAGCCCCGTAACCCGGCCCAGCCTGGCCCAAGGCTCGGGCACGGAGAGCAGAGAACCGCAAATGCAGAGAGGCAGAACCGACACTGCGGGCTCCTCTCGTCCCGCCATGGCAGCTCTGCAGCCTGACCCTCCCTTCTCTCTGCCTCAGGAGCCCGAGTCCTGACAGAACAGCCCAGCGCAGCCAGCGAGACGCACGCAGGCCACAGGGCAGCCAGCTCCTGCACACTGGGCACAGGCGGCAGCAAGCCCTGAGAGGGTACACTGGATTGCACGGCTCAGGGCAAGATGGCAGAGAGGTCTCCTCTCGGACGCTTTCCAGGCTTCTCCAGTATTTCACTCTGCACACGGCCTTACAGTATTTTGAAAAATGGCTATCTGCTCCCAGAATTAGTCCATGTGACTCTTATTTGCTAAATCAAAACAGCATCAAAAATTCCCCAAAGGGCCAGGGATTTAGCTCAGTGGTTCCACCGCCTGCCTCTAAAGCATAAGGTCCTGAGTTTGATCCCTGGTACCAAAAAATGTTTTTTAATTTTTAATTTAAAAAAAATTCACCATAAGTCCAGGGATTTAGCTCAGTGGCACTGCACCTGCCTGGCAAGTGCAAGGTCCTGAGTTCAATCCCCAGTACCCCAAAAACAATCACCATAAAAACAAACAAAACACAGACTGGGACACACATGCTCTCGGGCTCTTGCCTCGATGCCACAGGCTACTCAGGACTCTGCCAGGCAGAAGCCACTGCCAGAACCAAGAAACACTGGCTCCCCACCTTAAAACCTCTGAAACCATTCACTAAATAACCCTTTTACTTATTTTTAAACAAATTAAAAATTAACAGCTGGGGATGTAGCCCAGCAACACAGTGCTCACCTAGGATTGTGAGGCACTCAGCTGCATCCCCAGCACCAAAATAAGCTGATGAAGAAAAGAGGAGCTGGGGAGTGGCACTTGCCTGGCGTGTGCAGGCCCTGGGTCTGACCCCCATTGCCAGAAATGTAAGTAAATAAAGAGAAAAAATTAAATTAAAAGAAATGTTAAAAATCTGCAAGACTTAAGAGTCCTGCATGTAGTGGAGCTGCTGTGGCTGGGCGCTCGCAGCCGCGGCAGTGGTCAGGCCCTAGGGACAGGCCTCACAGGGCAGAGGACAGCCCAAGCCCAGGCGGACTGTGGCCCAGATGCCCAGAGAAAGCACTCAGCATGAAGCGCAGGGACTCTGTAATTGCAAGACACACAGCTAGCTTATTGGAGGGTCACAAAAGCACAACTAATGCCACACTGTGACTGTTGGTGTGGCGGGGAGCAGCGTGACCCACGTGGGACTCGGGCGCTGTGCCACTGAGCCAAATCCCCGGCCCACACATTCATTTCTTAATTCCCACCCGTGGATGTGCCAAAACAGCGCTTTTCCCTGGCACTGGCCGTACCCTTCTCCTGCCACCAACCTGTGCCCACTTGAGGCCACAGTGACCAAACCACGAACCAAAGGAATTGAAAACCAAATTCCAGGGTGAAAAAGAAGCTGTCATTTTACAACTTCAACCCAAACAACTTCTGCTGCACCTGCCTGCAGTGCCACCCCACCTGACGGGCCGACGCCAGGCGCAGCCCATGGCCTGGTCTCTTACTGGTCAGGGCAGCGAAGTGGCTGAGTCCACATCGAATGCGGGAAACCTGGACATCTGAGCTGAAGTCTGTCAGGCCAAAGAGCGTGGGTGGAATCATTTCTGGGATGGCAGTTTCCACAAGCTTGGGTCCTTTCCCAAGAATTCCGTAGCCCCAAACAAAAACGCAGCCTTCTTCTGCATTACAGAAAAACAATGGTCAGTAAGTCAGACACAGTGGAGCCCTGCCTTGCCAGAGAGCGGACCACACCACCCACACCCATTCTATCCACATGGCCCTGGGAGCCTTCCCTGGCGTGGCCACAGCGCTCAGACAGGGATCTGAAATAACCCCCTCTCCCCTCTCCAACCCTTGCCCGGAGTCCGTCTGGCCAGCTCGCCAGCCTCAGCACAAACTTCCCATGTCCTGATGGGAGCCCAGAGAGCCAGGAGCCAGTCCGCAAGTCACCCAGAAAATCCATGTGGACGCAGGAAAACTCCTGGCAGCTCTGAGCAGCACGCCGTTCAGAAAACCATGCCGAACTCGAGCAGCGTCTCCCAGCCGCCCTGCCTCAGTGAGAGCAGGACTCCGGGGCCCTGGGCTCAACCTCCCCACATAAACATGATTCTCAACAGTGATGCCAGGTGGGCGTGGGCCTCAGTATCTAAACTCTGTCTGCCTTTCCCTTAGTTTTCTTTTCTCAGTTTGAGACAAGGTCTCAAAGTCACTAAGTTGCTCAGGCTAGGCTTGAAAGTGTGACCCCTGGCCTCAGTCCTTTTATCTCCAGCCGGAGACGAGTGAAGAGGCTCGAGCCCTCGCCGAGGTCACCACACAGCACACCACCACCTTCTCAGCCCTCTCGCTCACCGTTCAGCACAGCGCAGCCTGTACCGCTGCAGGCCGCCTGCTTCACCTTCCCCACTCCAGAGAAGGGCAGGCTCTGGGGGACACTGACCTGCATCAGAGACGGTCACTTGGTTAGGACAGAATCCAGGGAGAACCTGCTCCCTCACTGTGCACCCCCCACACACGGGGGCTACATCACAAGTGAGGGGCCACCTCGGTTCCCACCCTTGAACAGCGCTGGTCTAGAAGAAGAGGTGGCTGTCACTCAAAATTCACATCCAGAGCCGGGCATGGTGGCGCATGCCTGTAATCCCAGCACCCAGGAGGCTGAGGCAGGAGGATCACTGTAAGTTTGAGACCAGCCTGAGCTACATAGTGAGTTCCAGGTCACCCTCAACTACATAGTAAGACCTTGTCTCAAAAAAAAAAAAAAAAAAAAAAAAAAAGAAATTCACATCCAACAAGATGCAGTGGTGCCTATAATCCCAGCACTCAGGAGGCTGAGTCAGGAGGACTGCAAGTTCAAGCCCAGCCAGGGCCAAAATAAAATATAAAAAAGGAGTGGATAAGTAGCTCAGTGAGAAGGCCCTGGGCTCCATCCTACAAAAAGCAAAGGCAAAACCAAGATCACATCAGCCTCTCCCAGAGAGTTCCCCATGATCCAGTCTGCCCTGTGATCTCCCCTTGTTCTGGGGCCAGACCAAGTGACCTGACTGTGGGGAAAGAATACCAGCCCAAGCGAGGGGCTGCCACATGCAGGACTGATGCGCTGGCCCTCTCCATGCTGGTGGGGACAGAAGAAGGTACCCGCCCGCCCGCCTGGCACAGGGTCCGTAGCACCTTCTCGTAGCAGAATCCTAAGGTGACAATCACCTTGGCGACTCACAGTCACAACAGCCAGCAGAGCACTGCTGGGCCCTGGAACCTGAGAAGTGCACGGGCTGCAAACCACTGGGTCCTGGGGGTCACCAGCCAGATGACATGACAGGAAGGCCACCAGAGACACCAGGCCCTGGGAGGGGAAGCAGCGCTCTTCTGAACACACCCACTGCTCATCAGAGAAAACCCAGGGTCACGCTTCCTTGTGCTCTGGCTCCGAGGGAGTGCAGAGCCACCTGTGCACTTCCGGCACAGGGAAGCCGTTCTACTGCTGCAGCTGACTTCAGTTTGTCTCACTTTCTTCCCACCTCCTGCCTCAGATCCCCACCCCCACGAAGTGCTGGGCGACAGGTGTGTGCCACCATGCCCGGCTGGCTAGCTCTATCTCTTGGAGAAACTGAAGGCTTTCTGGGAGACACACGGCACGGAGGAAGTATTTCACCACAGCCCATCCGGGCTCCCAGCAAGGGACTGCCCAGCGCTGGCTTGGGGCACCGTACCTGTGTGGAGTCCGTGATGGACGCCAGCTGCAGGTACTCAGAGTTTCCCCACCCGAACACGGCTCCTTCGGAGGACACGGCCAGGCAGCAGTCGCCATAGGTGGCAACCTGGACGACCTCCACTCCAGCAAGGTCTCCGCCCAGCTTGGTGGGCGTGCTGGTGATGCTGTAGTGGCCCAGACCTGGGAAGCAGCAAGCACTTTGTTATTCACCCTTCCCGCCAACTTACTGGGACCTGCAGTAAGGGGGGCATAGTTGGAAGCACTCAAAACCTGGACTCCGAAATCCTGAGCTGTTCCTCTGTGTGTGCACACCTTCCTTCTCTGTGCAGCCTCAGAGGAGGAAAAAGGACACAGTCACAATTGGTACATTTTAAAAACCCCTGGAGCTGGGCTTGGTGGCGCACACGTGTAATCCTAGCACTCGGGAGGCTGAGGATCGCCGTGAGTTCGAGACCAGCCTAGACTACATAGTGAGCTCCAGGTCAGTCTCAACTAGAGTGAGACCCTGTCTCAAAAAACCAAAAAAATAAATAAAAAATAAAAACCCCTGGAGCCAAGCACAGTGGTTCACACCTATAATCCTAGGACCCTGGGAGGCTGAGGCAGGAGGATTGCATCCTGGCCAACACAGACTTAGCCAGACCCTGTCTCAAAAACTAAAAAAGCTGTAGCTCAGTGAGAGGCCCCTGGATTCCATCCTCAGTAGTGGGGGAAAAAAAAAAAAAAAAAAAAGAGCCCAGGACTTCAAGTCTGCTGAGGATGCTTTCTGGCTCATTTCTGGGGATCCAGGGATGAAGGTAACAGGTAGGCAAAAGATCAATATTCCCTAAAGGTGTGCGAGGTCCCCACAGCGCACAGCCACAGGTCACACAGCCCAGACCGCACTGCCCAGGGCACAAGCGCTACCTGTCTGCCCATCGGCGCCCCAGCCGCAGGAGTAGACTTCACCTCGGTCCGTGAGGAAGAGACTGTGGTCCTGCCCACAGGCAACCTGGAGACACAGGGCAACAAGGAGGAGACTCAGGGCCCCGAGGACTCAGTCTCCGGCGGGTCTCCCCACATCTCAGTGCCCCCACTGCTCCCCAACTCTGCACCACGCCACAGCCAAAGCCAGCTCTGTCCAGGGACATGTGGTGCTGTGTGCCGGCCACACATGGCCCTGAGGCCGACCCCAGCCAAGAGCCTGCTAATGGCACTTCACCAGCCTGCTGCCAGGGCCGAAGAGCCCGTGCTGTCCCATGCACGCAGCTCGTGAGAATGTCAGGCTTATCTTCCCACCCCTATCCCTGCCTGCCTGTGACCTCTGGCACCAGTGCCTTCCCCCAGCTCCTCAGTGCTCCGCACACCCAAGAGTGTGCACTCGCGCCTCAGGGCTCACTCTAGGGACCCACGTGTGCCAGGCACGGCCCACGGACACAGCCAACCTCGACCCTGAGGCCCGGCTGGCCTGCTGGCTCCCTCCCACACAGAGCTCCCTGCCCGCCCCAGAAATCTCTCCGAAGTCCCCCCAACACCCAGCACAACCCCAGGCGTATGGGAGGCGGGCTGAGAGCTCTTACTCACTGAGCTCAGAACTCCCCGGAACAGCCTTCGCGTCCCTACCTGGACCACCTGGCCGTCAAAGTCCTGCATCCTGTGCACTCTGTGACTCTCACTACGGCCCGAGCAAAGAGAAGGGAGAGAAACAGTCAGAAATACTCACACGACCAACGCAGGGACTGTGTGTGAGGCAGCTCTGCCTCCCTGCACATGCCCGAAGAGCGAAGGGCACCGTGCTCACAGCTGCTCAAACCCGAGTCAGGTTTGAGCAGGAAAACATAACGCATGGCTTCTCTAATACAAGAAACCCGAAGTATATCGAGCGAAATAAAAATGAGCTGAGGGGCAGAGGGAGCCAGGCTGTGGAGGGGAGGACAGAGCGGCTGTGATGCACGGCCGGCCCTGCACATGCGGAACTGTGAGAGCAATGGCAAGGCTCCGAGGGAGGCAGAGCTGGGCCTGCACAGGAGCTCGACACCCAAGCCCAGGTGACCTTACTAAGCACCTCACGCCGCAACGCAAAGAGCTAGCGGGAGGTTAAGCGCCAAGATGAAAGACTGCAATAAAGGGAAACGCTGAAGTTGAGCAATTTGGTGACATCAAGATTTACAAAGTCACTCAGAGGGGCTCTACGGGCCACAAGCGCCGCTCCTCAGGCTCCCCTCACCAACCTGGCGAACGGGGCGTCCCTTCCTCAGGGACCTTCCCGCACGCACGGTGACACTCAGGGACTCACCTGTACACTTCAGCCTCCACCACCTTCCGTCCACACTGCCCATAGGCGTTGTTTCCCATGCTGAAGACTGAAGCACACCACGCAGGTTTATCAGCTCCGAGGGTTGAGGGACCATGAGGGCCCGGGCCACCGCACATCCCCGCCCCAGGCTCCGTCCCGAACCCCCAGCCTCCATTCCCTGAGCCATCGCTGAGTGCCCGCCTGTGTCTTCCTGTCCCAAGGCTCAGCAGCCAGCAGGCTGGCCTCTCCCTGGGCTTCGCTGTCTGTGGAGAAAGCCGGCCCACTGCACAGTCACTAGCAGAAAGAGTGCTGTGCACTGCCCAGCTCAGGACTCCCCGGCAGAGCAGGAGGCCTCTGTGACCCTGTCACGTCCCGTGTCCCGAAGGAACCCGAGGCAAACACCCCACCACCCACCAAGCACATCCAGGCTGAGTTTGAACTTGTGACCCTCCTGCCTCAGCCTGCCGAATAGCTGAGATTATAGGCGCTGCCCCTGGCAGCAGGCTCACAGCTGGCATCCTCCCAGACGCCCACCCAGAGAACAGAAGGATGAGTTAGCGAGGCCTTTCTCAGGGCTGGGCCGCGCCCCACCTCCCCTCACCTCACCTCCTTCCCTGTCAGTGAGGACAAGGGAGTGTGCACGACCGCAGGCCACCTGCAGCACCCGGGTCTCCTGGGGTCTGTCCAGAGGCAGCGCCACAGGCGAGGGCTCCAGCACATACTCGTAGCCTCGGGCTGAAGAGAGCACAGGGCCTCAGTGCAGAACCACGCTGCTGCCCAGCCTGCTTTACTGCTTTATGAAAGAGGGGCAACTCCCTCAGGCCCAGGAACAATGCGCTGGTCTTAAAGAAGCCCTGGGACAGGGCTGTGGCTTGGTGGTCAGTGCCTTTCCAGTATTCCCAAAGCCCTGGGCTCTGTCCCCAGCATCACAGAATGAAGAGTCCTTATATTTGTAGGCATAGACTGAAGACTTATAAATGAAATGAATAATGTGGAGACCTGCTTTAAAAGTATTGAGGAAAAAGGAGGAAAGCGGGGCATGATGGCTCACGCCTGTGATCCCAGCACTTTGGAGGCTGAGGCAGAAGGATCACCTTGAGTTCAAGGCCAACCCGGGCTACCCAGTGAGTTCAGAGCCAGCCTGAACTACATAGTGAGATCTTATCTCAAAAAACCAAACAAACAAAAAGTTGAGAAAAAGAATAAAACAGGACCAGTGTGAGCCGGTGAAAGCTGGAGCTGGTGAGAGCTGAATCTGGTGGCAGCCTGTGGAACTTATCACACTGTTCTGTCTAAAGTTGCTCCTAATAAATTCAGGCCGGGGATTTAGCTCAGTGGTACCACACCTGCCTCACAAGGGCAAAGTCCTGAGTTCGATCCCCATACCAATAAATAAATAAATAAAATTTTAAAATCCAATGCACCATCTTACAGCTAGTGAAGACTTTCATACTGGCTTGCAAAAAGACATTTCTAAATAAGAATTAACTGAAAAAAGAAGAAAACAAAATATATGCAATGATCTAAATCATGCAAAAACATTTGCAAATCTGTGCAGTATGTACTTCTGGGTAACTTCTTCCTTAAGTGACAAATAAAATGGACACGTTTTATCTCTGACTTTCACAGTCAAGTGAGGGCGGGGCAACACTGGGTACTGAACCCAAGGTCTTCACAGTGACCTATACCTAAACTGGGCTCAAACTTGCAATCTTCCTGCCTCAGCCTCCTAGAGTACTGCGATTAGAGGCATGCACCACCATGTGCCGCTAACAGTCTATTTCAAAAAATACAGTCAGGCTGGGCGTGGTGGCGCACGCCTGTAATCCCAGCACTCGGGAGGCTGAGGCAAGAGGATCGCTGTGAGTTCGAGACCAGCCTGGGCTACATAGTGAGTTCCAGATCAGTCTCAACTACATAGTGAGACCCTGTCTCAAAAAACAAAACAAAACAAAGAAATACAGTCAGGCTAATGTCTACTACTTCTAACACTTTTACAACAGAAGTTTCAAACCTGGGGAACACCGCCTGCATCTTCAGGACCTCGCTCACTTCTCCCCAGACTGCACTCTGGGTACTGTGGGTTCTGAGACTAACAGGCCCCTGCTTGCCGCCCAGCAAACCCCAAGCTCTCACCCATTCACAGTGGGCTCAATGCAGTGGGCCTGGAGGCCGGAAGTGCTCGCTCCAGTATTTCGTTCAGCTGTAGCAGCAGAGACCCACCACCCTCACCCCCGGGGCTGTGCTCACTTTTATCCTTCCGACTCTGATGAAATCCAAGCTGAGAGTCTTTGTTGAGCCCCATGCCCCAAACTTTGGTGACATCTTTGGTTCTGGAGGCCAGCAATGTGAATCCGTAGCCACAGGCAGCAGAGGAAATCTGAAAAAGAGTTCCCGCAGGGTCACCTGACTGGAGGGGTCTGGGTTTCCAGCCCCAGGTATTTGCTGAATCCTGCTTAATACAGCAGCCGGCCTGTACCGAGCATTTACTGTGCCTGACTTGGGCTGTCTCCCTCGGTCTCTGCAGCCGCCCTAGGAACCAGGATTCTCATCCAGTCCACAAAACGGAAACAGAACCTAACCGACAGCCTGGCAGGAGCTAAGCAGCTTTCTCCCCTCACGCCCTTTATCACTCACTACATTTCTTCCTTCCCTGGAGCCAGAGGTTCGTAGTGGCTCGTGCCCATAATCCCAGCACTCTGGGAGGCTGAGGCAGGAGGAATGCAAGTTCCAGTCCAGCGTGGGCAACTTAGAGAGACCCCGTCTCAAAACAAATAAATAATAAAAAGAGCTCAGTTCAAACGCCCAAAGAAAGAAAAAACAACGTGTGCAGGCGGCCTAGCCCGCGCCGCACCGTTCACACACCCGCCAGCTGGGGACTTTGGCCTTAGCCTCTCTTGTTCCTCCCCGTCGCCCCCTCCCGGGGATGCTAAGCAAGGGATGGCGCCGGGCACCACTCGTGGCACGCTCCTTTCACCGCACAGGTGTCAGCGGCGGCCTCTACCGCGGTTCCCTCCCGGGCTCGCAACCAGCTCGGAGCCGCCGGTCCCCCCACGTCCCCC